GAGTTTCCTTATACCTTTTTTATTAAAGAAATAAATGAAAAAACGTATTGCACCATTATGTTCTCTTTTTTTGTCCCTGAGTGTACTGTATGCTCTCATGGAGGTATGAGAGAGAGTGGAGAAGTTCATCATAAGAGCTTGGGCTGCAAAGTTGTTTGTCTGTGATTATTACTATCCGGAAGTATCTGAAACATCACCATATCTATTTGGACATCGGGTTCATTGCTCCCAGAGCACAAGCGCTGTTGCTGGTTTATAATCTGACCAGCCATTAGCTCTGGTGAGTTCATTTAATCTCCTTTGGTGGTGGATTTTTCACAATTGGTTCAAGTCACTGACGATCTATATATATATTTTTTTTTGGACACTAATATATATTTTTTTTTGGACACTAATTTATGTTTGGTCACTATAATTATTTATTTAAAACACTAAATGTTTTTTTTGGATGATGATATACACCTTTGTATAAGTTTGTTATTAGCGCATACCTTTTTAATTAGGATTATAGTCGCTAAGGATTTTGTCCCTCTGTCGCCATTACCCTTGTGCATCCCACACACCCCTTACCCAATGCAAGTTCTAAATCACCTAATAAAACTTCAAAACAAGCTTAAGGACTAGTTACTGTCTCCTGGATGCAAGTCTGTATGGAAAATGCGTATTGCCTGGCTGAGCAGTACTATAGAGATACCCAAACTTCTGTGTCTCCTAAGGGGGTAGTGCTATACCTAAAAAAGAAAACCGATGCAACCATTACATATAAGGACTAGTAACCTGCAAAGTATCAAATGTTTGTGTGTTTAAATATACTACAGTACATATGATATAAATGGTTTACTAATATACACAGCTATTGATCCATACAAAGCATAATACAAGATCACAATATGACAAACTAACATATGCCTCTAGCTTCTGAAAATTCATGAGCCAAATAGTAGATTAATTATCTGTAAAGAGTATTTTGCAATGCAAAGCAAAATGTTTGCACCACACACAAAGAAAATGTTTTGGCATCAAGCCTCCCATCCTTATGTCTTTCCACAAGTACCTTTACCAAAGGATGTACAAGATATTATCTGACTTCCTCTATTATCTGATTTACTCTAAAGCAAGTAAACCATTTATGTGTATGTTGACGATGGAAAATAGTGACATATTGGATGAGAGCTGCCTTTTGTGCCGTAACATTTTATCAATAAATGCATATCACCATGGAGCAGAACTGTACAGATATTTGGACCTCTGGGGTGATGAGACATAATTTAATATGCACTTATGTAGAACGACAGTGGGTAGACTGCTACCGGTACAAATGAACTTCACCAACGCATTGCCTACATTACATCTTGGTGGTATAGCTTGTGTTTGGTTTTGGCACACCCAGCTGTCATGCTAATGTTCTGCAAAACTGTCTATGCAACCTTGGGAACAGGCTTCCTGTCAACTAAACGTATATGTAATGCCTCACCCTGAGCAGACTGTAAATTCGAGCGGAGTATTCAGTAAAACAGTAAAAGGAACAATGCTACAAAGGTAAAAGGGTGTTATCTGTTGTAGTCATTCAGGATCCATCTTGAAGTATAGAAGTTGTGTAACTGAATATGGTCTCCATTGCTTAACACATGCCATCACCCCTGATATACATGAAATACATTGAAGGACAAATTGAAGTAGTGCGACTTAAGGAAAGTGAATTCCAATTGGTTACTAATGTTACCACAATTTGCGCTTGGTATACTTAGATTGGTCAAGCTTGGACCTTTGTATAAAAGAACAAAACAGGGCGCACTCTCCTCGTGCATTACCGTGATAATATGAAATTTATTATAAAAATACAAAAACATACTCACACGCCAAAAAGGTCATAAAAACAGAGACAAGGAGTCAAAAGATGCCAGTCGTGAACAACATAGATCCTAAAAATTTTCTACTCCCAAAACGTGTTAGCACTTTATACGTGGACCTATGCTGTCCACAACTGGCATCTTTTGACTCATTGGGGTTTATTTACTAAAGCTGGAGAGTCCAAAATCAGACTCCCTTCTGCATAGAAACCAATCAGCTTCTAACCTCAGCTTGTTCAATGAAGCTTTGGCAATGAAACCTGGAAGCTGATTGGTTTCTATGCAGAAGGGAGTCTGATTTTGGACTCTCCAGCTTTAGTAAATAAACCCCATTGTCTCTGTTTTTATGGCCTTTTTGGCTTGTGAGTATGCTTTTGTATTTTTTATAAAAAATGTCATATTATCACAGTAATGCACGAGGAGAGTGTGCCCTGTTTTGTTCTTTTCTGCTAGTACCAAGATTCCCAAATCTACCAAGAGCGGCACCTCAGCAAGTGCTGGATTTCATTTTGAGTGCAGCAAGAGAGATTTGAGCACCAGTTTCTTGTTACTGTTGGATTTTGGACCATTGTATAGCTAACCATAGATGGTTCTTTTTTTTTTTCATTCAGCCAGCGGGCTGAATGAAACAACTAAACTGTTTGCTCCATCCACCTTGCTTGTGTGGATGGAGGAAACTTTTTTGTTTATCGTTCAGCCCACTGGCTGAAAAAAAAATAAATAAAAAAGAGCCATCTATGGCCTGCTGCGACATTGCATTCTAACAGCAAGTCTCTCCACTGCAGTTTCTGATCGACAAAAAATGTCCAACTTGTAAGGTCGACTTCTGTCAAACAAGGAAGCCACAAACTGGTTTGGCCATTTCAGCAATTTTGATCTATGCCCAGCTTATGTATGCATATTTTAGTACTGAAGGGTTACTGGGGAAGCTGAAAATCACTGTAGTAGTCATCTCTACTACAGTGATAGCTGCAATCTTCTAGGTTCTCTGCTGAGGGACTTCTACTCTGCCCCCTGACCACATGGGATCACTTGCTTGGCATTGCTGCAAATCACAGATTCTTTTTTTCAATGAATACAAGATGTTCTCTAATTTCATAAGGTAGAGATTTTTCCATCACTGCCATTTCTTTCCACCTCATCCAATCAGAGGATGCTTCTATTCACTGAAAAAAATACAAGCCTTTTTGTGAAATGGCAGCACTACTGCAGTAGAGACTCCCTATGGTCAGTATGCAGAAGCTAAGCTGCTCAGCACAGGAGATACACATACTTACATTCTCTAAGCTGTACCAATGTATGTATGCAATAAAGGTCATACCTGGAGTTCAGCTTTAAATAAATAAATAAATTTGGGGCATTAAATGAAATAAATAATCTGCATGCCACAATCATTCCACTGTTCATTGCTGAGAAGGTGTGCTCCAGTTTCATAGCTGGGTTAAGGCATAGTCTATATGTGTATCCACCTTTGGAACACAGCTGCACATATGACTCTTTTAAATATAATATATAATTACTGTTTAATGGTGACATGTATGCTGTTTTCAAAATCCAACTTCTTTAGACAGACTGTATGTGGAAGTAATGCATAACTGGGGAGACTCTTGAAGTAAGGGGATCAACGTCTGCAGGAATTAAGTGCAATGATCTATAGATGCATGTGCATACCTGCAGAATTCTTCCAAATTCAACCATTCTGACAGGCAAAGCTTTCCCCCTCCTTCCTGCCTCCTGTGCATTCCTTTAGCCAGTGAGAATGGCCATCATACACATGGTACAGTAGGTAGGGTGTTTTTGCTGTGTGCCTGTTTATTTGACTCATATTAAATTATTATTATTATTTTTCTTTTATTGTTATTATTATACAGTATTTATATAGCGCCAAAGGGTTTGCTCAGCAAATGTTACTATTTAGATAACCGAGGAATGCTCATATTGTTTCCTTTTAATACAAATAAGGCTTTCTTGTAGTGATATAGTGTTACCAAAAATATTTTTTTAATGGAATCCATAGGTTAAATATGTTACTGTAAATAAAAAGTAAACATTTTTTTCCTAAAATGTGTTCTATTTAAAATGACAGGAAACCACTAAAACAATGATTCTGATACAAAGCACTGCAAAGTTATTTGCAAATAAAATAAAGGATTTTTTAAAATTGTGCTTACAGTGATTCTAAACAATTTTTCTTTATCTTTAAAAACCCAAACATGTCATACTTACCTGCTATATTTAATGGTTTTGCACAGAACAGCTTTGATTCTCCTATTCTCGGATACTCTCTCCAATGCTCCTGGCTCCTCCCCCTGCCAACTGCTCCCATAGCAAGGCGCTGGCTATGGGGGCACTTGTGTACTTGTACTGAGCCTTACTGTCTGTATCTGTTGACACAGACATAGGGACCCGGCACTCCCACTCTCTTGTCACTGGCTGTGATTGAGCCAGTGGCTCCAACTGCTGTCTCTGAGCCAATGAGAAGGGAGAGCACATTGCTGGATCGAGATCAGACTTGGGTAAGAACAAGGGGGGGGGGGGGGGACTGCATGCAGAAGGTTTTTTTACCTTCATAGATTTCCCAATCATGTGATCACTGATTAGCTGTCACAGTGCCTGTCCCACAGGCTCCCAATGGGCACTACATGGCCACAGTGCTAGAGGTGCTAAGCATGACCCCAACACAGAACAGTAACGCAGATATATGGCAGCTTGGAGTAAGACCCACCTCTGTGCTGCCACATATTTAAGTATGGGTGGCAGGTACTGGTTAAAGAACAACTCTTATCTAAGCAAACACGCCCACAATTTAGGTTAAATCTCAAAATATCACCTATTCCCAATTATGTTTCAGTTTCTTAAGCTGGGGTGTTTTTAACATTCAAATAAATACTCCTAAACCAGTCTCTAAGTTTTCTCTTAATACCTGCACTACTTTAGGTGTCAATGGAAGTCATGCCTGTCCCCAACACTAATAGCTATGGCAGGCCTTGTAGAAGAAGTAGATATACTCATCATCTATTTTGTGTAATTCCTCCACATGTATATAACTTTTTATACACAGGATAATTTATAATAAGATTCAGTGAAGATTAAATATCTATGCATTAGTGAAATGACCATGATGAATGAATATTAGTAATGTACACTTACCAAGAATATCACCACCTACAATGCTGTATTCTACTTGGCCATTGAGACCAGAATCTTTATCTTCAGCCTTAAAGGTTGATACTCTAGGACCAGGCTGCCCTTCAGTGATCTCAAAAGGACCCTCATAAACATTTGGAAACTTTGGCCAGTTGTCATTGATGTCATTAACATTGACCAAGACCTGTAAGAATAAATGATATAGATTTAGAAGAGTAAAGACCCCCCCTATAGGACTTGGGACTTTGAAGGTGTACATATATATAAAAAAAGTTTTATAGAAAGTACAAGGTTTTTATTGTGTCAAAAAATTATTTTAACATGTAGACATACCATATAATACATCATCCAATGACCTTGGATGATGTTTTGTATGGTATGTCTACATGTTAGAATAATTTTTTGACACAGTAAAAAGCTTGTACTTTTTATAAAACTTTGTTCGGTATATATATATATATATATATATATATATATATATATACCTTCAAAGTCCCAAGTCCTATAGGGGGTCTTTTCCCTTTATTTATCTTGTAATTCTGGGGATATTGGCTACTGATCAGGAAACTCCTTTTCTTCTCTTTTTTTGTATATTTAGAAGAGTGTCAGCCATTCCTAATATGACCAAAAAAAAATCCCCTAGTGAATAATGCACTAGGGTTAGCACCTCCGTCTGCTCTTTTTCCAGTTGTTGATTTCCCTATCTGAGGAGGGCAGCATCTCCGAAAGGCTATTCATAAGCAATTTTGGTCCTGGTTCCCCTGGTTTTTCTTTTGCATTTGATCCCTGGAGCACTGGAGAGTATATTCTGTTACCTAATATGACCAAAGACTAATTCTGTGGTATTCATGACTAACGATACCACTTCTAGGTCCTCAGGAAATATTAAAGCTTAAGTATTAGTATGGCAATTTTTACATAATTACATAGCAATTCCGGGAACACTTAGCATTTTCTCATGTAGAGCGTTCTCTGATTGGACTCTTCATTGAGAAAAAAGCAAAATGTTCTCTGAACAGCACCTGTGGCAAGTGGGCTCTTCCTTTAGGAGAGTTTGTGACAGAAAAGCCATAAGGAGACAGGGACCATGAGTTGTCTCCCTATAGCAGGAGGTTCCTGAACAAAGATTTTCATGGCAGGATCTCTGAAGTAATACAGGAACACTAAAGGTATTACTTTAAACAAAAAATTGAACAATCTGGTATCATAATTTTTGTGTTTGTTCCTTTGAATAATTTTGGATGAAAGCTATGTACTAAAGATCAGATTATCGTACAATCACTTCGAAATTGGTATTTTTTTGTACAATTTTCTGTTCATCCGTACTAGGCTTTAGACTTACCGTATTTTCCGGCGTATAAGGCGACTGGGTGTATACGACGACCCCCTAATTTTCCAGTTAATACATAGGTTTTGGGCTATACTCGCCGTATAACACTATCCCCCTTCCGAGGCAACACCATTCAAAAACACCAGATTTGTTATTTGAAATGGTTATGACTTACCGGTACTTAAAATCCTTCAAAATCCTCATGTTCATCCTCTGACATCATAAGTTCATAAATGACATCTTGTGATACATTTGTAAGACAGTCATCATATGGATCAAATTCCAAGTCAGATGGTTACCGCTGGATGTGCGGTAATACCGTAGCTTCGGCTACATACAGTATACAGTATATATACAGCCCGCTGGATGTGCAGTAATGTACATACAGTATACCGCGCTAAGCCAAGCTGGCTCAAAACAAATGTCCCTATGACAGATTAATCTGTCAGCCCGCTAGATATGTGGTATATACAGCATACTGAGCCAAGCTGTTTCAAAACGTACCGGTACGTCCCTACTGTAATCAGCCCGCTGGATGCGTGTATGTACAGTAGCTGCGGCTACATACAGTATACACTGGACCAATCACAGCGAGCGATGTATTCTACTAATACAAAGCCTGCTCGGATTGGCTGAGGTTGTGACATCATCAGCCCACCTCTCTGACTCAGCCAATCCAAGCAGGCTTTGTATTCATTAGTAGAATACATCACTCGCCGTGATTGGTCCAGTGTATACTGTATGTAGCCGCAGCTACCGTACATACACGCATCCAGCGGGCTGATTACAGTAGGGATGTACCGGTACGTTTTGAAACCGCTTGGCTCAGCGCAGTATACTGTATATACCGCACATCCAGCAGGCTGACAGATTAATCTGTCATAGGGACATTTGTTTTTAGCCAGCTTGGCTCAGCACGGTATACTGTATGTACAGTATTACCACACATCCAGCCAGCTTGACCCAAACAAACTCAAGGTTCACATTTTATAACCCACGTATAAGACGACCCCCAATTTTTGGGGTATATTTGTAAGTATAAAAAAGTAGTCTTATACGCCAGAAAATACTGTAAATAAAAACATACATAACGCTTATGTAAGAAATATAATATTTTAAATAAAGGATTGTATTAAAGTTATGTTAGGTTAGATACACAATTTTACTTTGTGACTATATCTTAAAAAAGGTAGCAGAATAATTCAAGGAATGCACTGAAGATATGTAGGAGCCATGAAAAAAAATTGTAATTTCCTATCGTGAAGTGTACTCTTCTGAAGCACATTAGTTGAGGGGTAAAGACAGAATGAACAGGAGTCATGCGGTTCAATGCTTGAGCATCTCCCTGCTTGCCCTGTGTGTCAACAATGAACACAAGGCTCCAAAGGTAAATATTAATGTTTGCAGCCTTTTTTACTTATATTTTACATTTTTTTTACCTGTAATACACAAAGCTTTTCTTGGAATTATACTGTAAAATCCTCGGAACAAATACTTCTAATGTAAATTAATGTGGAAAACAATTCCTGTGTTTCAGTACTTGTTTTCAGGCAAGGGGAAGGGTAATGAGCTTTCTTCTGGGAGAGGAGGGTGAAGAGATCACACTTTACAATGCTTAGTTATGGCAGGCACTGGATGACCGATGCTCCTACACACACAGTATTAAATGGGGTATAATATGTTCTCTTGAGGAAGGAAATTTACCGAATGACAGACTTCCTACTGATAGAAGTTCATCCATCTTCATGTCTAAAAATATCTTTTAAACAGGAATTGCATATGAAATTTCTTAAGGTCTTATTTTGACTTAAATCACCATAAAAGGCTAAAGAAGTATCTTTAAAATTGCATCTTAAAAGAAGGATGCATAAATAAAAAGAATTCTAGAAAGAAAGGCAAATAAGAAGCAATTTTATAAGAGAAGTAATTCTCAAAAAACACAAGTCCTAATAAAGATTACTACAAACAAACCAATGAATCACTGCTAGAAAAGTGACAGTCCACTGCAGCCATTCTTGTCCAAGATTCTACGGAACCCAAGAGTTCCTTGGGCTGTGGCTGACTGAACTCCCATTTGATGATGCCTGCATAGTTGTCATCAACCATCTTGTTAGCTGACTGTGAGTCCTCATGCACACTGGACGTTTTTTTTACAGCGGCTGTTTTTGGCTTTTGACGTTTTTTTTCTGCAGCCAGTAAACTCCCCAGCATCCTGTGTCCATGCACACTTAGGCTGTAATCAGCGTTTTTTGGCAGGGGAGTTTTTTGGCTGGAAAAAAAAAAACAGTACTAGTGGGTTTCTAGAGGAGTTTTTTAGCTGTAAAAACACTCTAATGCTGAAAAATGCAGCAAAACACAGTAAACCACGGTAAATCATGGCAAACCAGCCTTTTTGGACATTTGTTTATCAAAAAAATATTTTTTTGGGCAAAAAAAAAAACTCTAAAAAAAGCAAACGCAAAAAACACGGCAAAACGCCGCTAAATGTTAATACAAAAACGCTGAAAAAACTCACTTTTTTAACGAGATTTTACAAAGCTAATGTTACCAGCGTTATTAAAACACCCAGTCTGTATGGAGCCTTAGGGTGACATTTTGGCAACCACTGTAAGGGGGTATTCTTCTCACTGACCACCAATGTAAGGAGCATTATGTCAATTCCCCGATGGACTAATCTTAGCAGAGGTTCCCTGAGACCTGAACATTTTTTGTTCCCCTGGGGTAAAATGGTTGATAATGGCTGGTCTACTGCATGGCTGCACACTGTGCACATATTCTTTGCATTCGGTTAACCTTTTTGTCTAGTCATTTCTTTAGTCACTATCATTTTCATTTGTCTAGCTGATTTTTTCAGAATACATACCGTGGTAGTGGAGGTTTGACGACGTGGTACAATAGGACACCTGTCTGTTGCAGTTACAATTAGAGTATATTTACCCAGACAGACTTCATAATCTAGTTCCTTCACAGCACGTATCAGGCCCTAGAAAAAAGAAAATATGCTGTATAATTACAATTCATTTCCTACGACAACAAAAATGTGGTGAATACTTTAAGACAATGACAGACAGAGGCTTAAAGGACTTGCATATCATTTAAAATGAATACTTTGTTCACACAATAATATATATTATAGTTACATAGTTGATAAGGTCAAATAAACACCATTCAGTTCAAACTTTGTGGATGTGAGGGTATGAGTGCGTATGTATTTACAGTATGTCTCTGCCATTTCCCATATCCCTGTATATTGCATTCACTAAGATGACCATCTAAGAGTTTTTTTATAATTATTAACACTCCCTGCTGACACTACCAATTGTTGAAAGGAGAGTTCCACTTTCTTACCGCTCTAACAGTAAAAAACCACCTATGCAGTTTAATCCCTTGATGCCAATCGCACACAAATATGCGGCCTCTCGGTGTCTGGGTCTTGACGCCGAGCGACTGCATATTTACGTTCAATTAGCCCTGCACATATGTCCGCGACTCCCGGAAAGGTCCCGATCTCCCCTTTCGATCTGGACCTTTTCCGATCATGTGACCACCGTGATGGCGAATCACGGCGGTCACATGAACCTAAAACCCTGCCCCGCCTCCCGGGCGTCTTGTCGCCGAGCGACTGCATATTTGCATACAATTAGCCCTGCACATATGTCCGCAACTCCCGGAAAGGTCCCGATCTCCCCTTTCGATCTGGACCTTTTCCATTCATATGACCGTCGTGATGGCGAATCACGGCGGTCACATGACGCTAAAACCCTGCCCCGCCTCCCAGCTTCTGAAACTCTTAAGGGTCGGGAGGTACCGGCGCGAAGAGGTTAAGGTTAAATCACTTCTCGTCCTACTTCATTGAGTGGCCATGTGTCTTCTTAAGCAATCTGAGACTGATTCATTTTTTTCCTATGCTAGAGTCACCATTTAGATATTTGTATATTACAGTTATATCTCCTCTTAAGTGCCTCTATTCCAAAAGATTAATTTTAATGTTTGTTGTCGACTTTATATATTACATACACCTGTCCATCTGTAATTTGGATTCATACTAAAATCACTGCCTGTTTTCAGCACTTGGCAGGATAATGATTTACATGCTAACTCCAATTAGTTATATGTTACTCCTGTATTCAGGGTGTAACATGGTGCCACATGTGGAGGTACTTTCCCCCCCCCCCAGCCACTATCACTTTTGATAGGGTCTTCTGAAAAAGTCATAGGAAGTGACGAAACGCGTCAGTACACGTGACGTCAGACGTATCGACGTTGACCGGAAGTGCGATCGCGGCCATCTTGGAAGTGGGAACATGTGGCCAATGTTTCCCTGAATCTGTCCACACTTGTATCCCTGTGAGGAGGAGCTGTTTTCACCCAGATTCTATGTGAGTTACTAATAAAGGAGGATATGTTATAGACTATCTGTGACTGTGGATTTTCTTGAGAATGGAAGAAAAACCCTAGCATTGGATAAAATCGGTTTGAGGAGAAATGAACCCAGAGTGGTGTCCTGCCTTGATGTTTTTGATATAGGGCAATTACCCATCAGCATATGAGTTGGAGAGTGTTGTTTTGGGTTTAGGGGAACACTGAGATACACACTTGCAGTGTTCATTGGGAGTTGTTTTTACACATGGTGTTTTGACACTTTTTTATATGAGTGTGTTTCACTTATATCTATATTCACTATAGAATATTTGCATGTGTATAGATACTCGTGTATAGAGTATACACATTTATAAAGGATTTTGCATGCTGCGTGGCACGTGTGTTGTATTATATAAAAGGTATGACACTATGTCAAGTTTTTTCTTTTTGAGGTGTACTGTCATCAGGATTTGCGGATATTGAGAAGGAGTGTTTGATGAAAGAAGAAAGAAAAGTATTATTTACACCTGTGGGGATTATATTTTTAGATTATTATTTTTTTGGATTCTTTATTATATTTTTTTGGATTATTTATTATTTTTGTATTTTTTTGAATTTTGGATATTTGGGACAAATTTTTTATGGTTTTATATTTTGATGTGGGTTTTATTTTATATTTTTTTGTTTTTTTTTATTGTTATTTATTTGTTTTAGGGAAAAGTTTTATTATTTTGTTCAATTAGCCTTCAAGGGTGGGTGGATAACTTTTCTGGGTCACTATAGGGTGATTTGCTGCTGTGTTTAAACATAAAGGTCCATTTGTAGCATTTCTGTTACTTCTGACTAGTCAAAATTAGGATGTGGCACTAGTGTATATATTGGGAGTGACCCTTCACCCGAGGGGACCCCAGCCTCTTTTTATTCAATTATTTGGAGGAGGTCAGCAACGGCAGCCCACATTAGAGACTCCCAAGGGCAACATTCTATATAATGGAAGCAGAAACAAACACATGTGAAAGTGGGTCTTTATATATGCTGTTGGGAGTCAAATAAACTGAAAATAATTTAAAACAAAATAAATTTTATTACAACTAGTGTTCACATATAAAATTGCTCTCCATAAAATACAGTAATCATTAGGAACCATCCATAACATGTCATAGATGACAATTAAGGTTGTACAAGTTGGTCTACGCATTTCATGGGTGAAGTGAGTCAATCCTTGAAACGCGTAGATTGAATAGCATCACCGTGATTGTCATGTATGGCATGTTATTAATGGTTCTTTATGGTTACTGTATTTGCTGGAGAGCAATTTTATATGTGAACACTATTTGTAATAAAATTTATTTTGTTTGTGATTATTTTCTTTTTACTTGACTTCCAACGGCATCCAAACAGTCCCCCTTCAACATTTGCTTGTTTCAACTACTGGTTTGGTCATTATTCTAGCACATTTTAAAATAAAAAGGCGCCCCCCCTCCACAGCACAAGCTGTTAAAAGGCTGTTAAGGATCCGGGTATGACCAGAAATGTGTGGGAACACAGGCGTAGTCAGGGCTGGAGAGGAGGAATGGTCAGGCGGGCCGTAAGGTACTGTCAGGCGGGATCTCTAGTGACCCACAGACCAGGATTCCCCAGGGCACGGAGTCTAAGCCCCAGTCTGCCTTTTCACCAGAGCCCCTGATGGTGGGGATGGACTTGGCGCAGGGCTGAGACCAGGTCGTGGCCCCTGAGTGCACCCAACTGTGGTAGAGGGGTCCGCCGAGGGTATGTACCGGGGGGAAGCCTGATGTGAAGGGGCTGGCAGGTTTGGACAGTAGTGACTGGATCCGTGCGGGATGGATGGATCATCTGGGTAGTGTCAGGCGTAGTCAGGCAGGCCAGGTCAGCAATGTGCAGGCAGTGAGGTACCAGAGGAGCAGGCAGAGAATAGTCAGGGTCACAAGCCGGGTTCAGTAACTCACGGGCAGCGCGGTACAGAGGATCAGGCAGAAGGATGGTCAGGCAAGCCAGGGGTTCAACAGGAGACGGTCAGCAGAGGTCAGGATAAAAACAGGGTCAGCAACTAGGCAGGAACACAGGATATCAGGTACAGGGGCTCATGGGAAACATACACCAAGGCCCTGACTGCAGGTCTGGTCATTCCTTAAATACAACTCCTGCAATCAGCCCCAGGTGTTGGCTGACTGCAGGAGTGAGCTTCTGGCTGCTGAGGTCAGCCCTGGTACTGCAGCCCACACGGCAGGTAAGTCCCACCACCAGTGCTGAGTCCATTCCTGACAAAGGCTGACGGGATCCATAGGAAATGATCTGCCTAATATCTGCAGTTTACTGTATACAGTTTGAATCTGTACACCTTCAAGAGCAGATATAAAAAAGCTCACCACATTGTATTGTTTTCATTTCCTAAATCTTAAAGTGATTGTAAAGCTTCATATTTTCTATTAAAATAAAACAACATGTTATACTTACCTGCTTTGTCCAATGGTTTTGCACACAAAAGCCCCAAACCTCCTCTTCTGGGGTCCCTTGCCAGTGCAGCATGCTCCTCCTCTTCTCCTAGTAATATGGCTGCTATGGGGGCACTCATGTGGGTGTGCTCCCGAGCCGGGCTGTATGCAGTTATAGACACACACAGCTTAGTTTGGCCCCGTCCCTGTTCCCTTCTAAGACTTGCACTGACAGCAGCAGAAACCAATGGCTCCCATTGCTAATAAGTTTCCTGTGAGGAGAGAGAAAGAGAAGAAGAGCTGCTGCAGATGGGCACTGCGATGGATTGAGATGGAACTCAGGTTGTTTTTGGGGGGGGGAGCAGTTACTGAAAGTTTTTTTTACCTTAAAGTGATATTAACCACTAGCCTACAGGGCACTTATACCCCCTTCCTGTCCAGGCCAATTTTCAGCTTTCAGCGCTGTCACGCTTTGAATGACAATTGCGCGGTCATGCAACACTGTACCCATATGAAATTTTTAGCATTTTTTTGAGACAGATAGAGCTTTCTTTTGGTTGTATTTAATCACCTCTGGGTTTTTTTATTTTTTGCTAAACAAATCAAAAACAACTGAAAATTTTGAAAAAAAAAAATTTTTTTTCTTAGTTTTTGTTATAAAATTTTGTAAATAAGTGATTTTTTTCCTTCACTGATGTGCACTAATGAGGCTGCAGTGATGGGCACTGATAGGCTGCACTGATGGACACTAATAGGTGGCACTGATGAGCACTGATGAGGAGGCACTGATGGGCATTGACAGGCATCACTGATGGTCACTGAAAGGCAGCACTCATATATGGCACGGATAGGTGGCACTGATAGGCAGCACTTACTGTCACTGATAGGCGGCACTGATAGGCAGCACTGACGGGCACTGATAGGCGGCACTGATGCGCACTGATAGGCAGCACTGACTGGCACTGATTGGCAGCACTGATAGGTAGCACTGACTGGCATTGATAGGTGGCACTGACTGGCATTGATAGGTGGCACTGACTGGCATTGACAGGCATCACTGATGGGCACTGAAAGGCAGCACTGATATATGGCACTGATAGGCGGCACTGATAGGCGGCACTGATAGGCAGCACTGACAGGCACTGATAGGCAGCACTGACTGGCACCG